AAATAGGTCCTTTTAACACGTCATCATAAAGCTCAGATCCTAGTTGCTTGATATTTGACTATAAAAATTAATATAATTGTATTAAATGCAAAGATGGATTCTACTTAAAGATTAGAGCATTTTTTAATGAAACCACTCAGAATTATCAAGATACTTGTTTAGAATGTATTGAATCTCCTATCTCTAAATTATATAGTCTCATAGAGAGAAATTTGCATGGAAGCTAAGAATGAAAATAATTGTGAAATCTGCATAGAAGGCTATAGCCTATTTAATGATCCTGATGGAAATTAAAGATGCTAAAGTAAGTGAATTCTTAATACAACCCTCTTTATGTTTTTCAAATAAAAATTGTATTAAATTAATAAATTCATTAGAGTGCTAAAGTGATAATCAAACTCTGGTACAAGATATTTTAAGTTCAACACCAATTAAATGCAATTTTACCTTTGACACCTAAAAAGGTAAGCCTAGTCAGTAATATACATTGGCATGCAAAGATGGGTTTGTTGATCATCTAACAAACCAATGTACAACTAATTGTGGTCTTGGAAGGTATGGATTAATATCCTATAATGCCAGAGGGAAAATAGAAGCCTCAATATGCTCCGTATGTGATGATAATTGCTTTGAGTGTGTTACAAAAACAAATTGTATCTCTTGCAAGAAAGGATTTTATCTCTATATAGAATCATATTCAAAAACTACAGGCAAATGCATTTAAAAATCTGGATCTACTTAAATTACTCTTTATGTTGACAATGTTCTTGGAAAGTTTACCTTAGATTAGACTTCTGGTTTGACTCTAGATGATCCATTCTTTTCATTGTAAAGTGCAATAATAAAAGCTTATGAATATGGCGCTCAGTATTAGGATGCTCTTATTCAGATAAAATTAATACCTGGAAAAGTTCACTAAATGTAGCGTTATGTCAATGATCAAATTTTACCTAGAGCTTCTGACTTAAATTCACAAACAATATCAATTAAAATTGATTCACTAGACGGAACTTAAGTAAAAGTTCTATATAAATTAAGAGATAAATTTAATTTTCTCATTGGAGGAGGTTTAGAGATAAGAAATGTTGTATTTGATGCTACGGATTC